AATTGGAAAGGAAGAGGTCAAAATTTCACTATTTGCAGGTGATATGACCCAAAACCTCTACCAGGGAACTCCTACAGCTTATAAATACTTTCAGCAAAGTGGCAGGATACAAGATCAACTCAAGAAAATCAGTAGCCCTGCTATATACAGATGATAAAAGGGCTGAGAAAGAAATCAGAGAAACATCACACTTTACAATTGCCACAAACAACATAGAATATCTTGGGGTAATGCTAACCAAACAGGTGAAAGACATGTATCATAAGAATTTTGAGTCTTTAAAGAAAGAAGTTAAAGAAGACATGAGAAAATGGAAAGATCCCCCATGCTCTTGGATAGGTAGGATCCATGTAGTAAAAATAGCAATCCTGCCAAAAGCAATCTACAGATTCAATGCAATCCCCATTAAAATAGCAGCTGGTCATGGGGGAACAGGAAGTTGAGGGGGTGGGGGTAGAATAGGGGGAAGAGGGAATCATAGGATCGAAGACAGATCAGGCACCAGAGCGACCTCGAGTGATCTAAAGGGATAACACCAATTGGCAAGCTAAGCAATAGTGGAGAGACCACCTCGAATGCCCATTCCTGGTAATGAACTTGATGTCTATAACCATCCGGGAGCCTTCATCCTGTGACTGATGGAAGCAGAGGCAAACACACAATTAATCACTGAACTGAACCCAAGGAACCCAGTGACAGAGAGAGAGGAGTGATGAGCAAATTGGCAAAGAATGGGCTGGCAAAACCAGCAGAGACAGCTGATCTGAACAGGGGAGAGCTTTTGGACCCCAGACTGACAGTGGGGAGGCCAGCATGGGACTGATCTGGACCCCCCAAATGTGAGTGTCAGCGAGAAGGCCTGGGAAACCTATGGGGCCCTGACCTGGGGATCAGTGTCTATCCCTGGAATACAAACAGTCTTCATGTGCCTATAGCACAAAGAGGGATGCTCTCTCAGCCTGGACTCTTAGGGGAGTGCCTGGACCCTACCCAGAGTGAAATGACAGACTCTAGATATCCCCTATGTGGAAGGATTTGGCAATAGGGTGGGAGGGTGGGGGGGAAGAGGAGTGCGGGAGGAGGGGAGGGAGAGGGACTGGGATTGACATGTAAAACAAGCTATTTAAAATTAAAATAAAAAATAATTTAAAAAAAGAAAAAGAAAAAATAGCAGCACAATTCTTCACAGACCTTGAAAGAACAATAATCAACTTTGTATGGAAAAGAAGAACCAGGATAGCCAAAACTACCTTATTCAACAAAACAACATCTGGAGGCATCACCATCCCTGACTTCAGGCTCTATTATAGAGCTACAGTCCTGAAAACAGATTGGTATTGGCACAAAAATAGAAAGTGAGACCAATGGAATCGAATTGAACAACCTGATATTAACCCATACATGTATGAACATATTATCTTTGACAAAGAAACTAAAAAATACAATGGAAAAAAGAAAGCATCTTCAACAAATGGTGCTGGCATAACTGGATGCTGGTATGTAGAAGAATGCAGATAGACCCATGTCTATTGTCATGCACAAAACTTAATTCCAAATAGATCAAAGACCTCAACATAAATCCAGCCACACTGAACCTCTTAGAAGAGAAAGTGGGTACTACTATTGAACGAATTGGTACAGGAGACTGCTTCCTGAACATAACACCAGTAGCACAGACACTGAGGTCAACAATTAATACTTGGGACCTCCTGAAACTGAGAAGCTTCTGTAAGGCAAAGGACACAGTCAGCAAGACAAAAAGGCAGCACACAGAATGGGAAAAGATATTCACTAACCTCACATCTGGTAGAGGGCTGATCTCCAAAATTTACAAAGAACTCAAGAAGCAAGTCTCCAAAACACCAAAGGATCCCATTAAAAATGGTCTACAGAACTACATAGAGAATTCTCAATAGAGGAGTCTAAAGTGGCTGAGAGGCACTTGAGAAAGTGTTCTATATACCCAGCCATCAGGGAAATGCTAATCAAAACAACTCTGAGATACCATCTCACTCCTGTCAGAATGGCTAAAATCAAACACACCAATGACAATTTATGCTAGAGAGGATGTGGATAAAGGGGAACACTCCTCCACTGCTGGTAGGAGTGCGGACTTGTACATCAAATTTGGAAATCAGTATGGAGATTCCTCAGGAAAATGGGAATCAGTCTACCACAAGACCCAGCAATTCCACTCTTAGGCATTACCTAAAAGATGTACATTCATACAACAAGGACATCTGTTCCACTATGTTCATAGCAGCATTATTTGTAATATCTGGAACTTGGAAGCAACCTAGATTCCCCTCAACCCAAGAGTGGATAGAGAAAATGTGGTGCATTTACACAATGGAGTACTATCCAGCAGAAAAAAACAATGGAATCCTGAAATTTGCAGGCAAATGGTTGGCACTAGAAGAAACCATTCTGAGCTAGGTAACCCAGTCACAAAAAGAGAAACATGGCATGTACCCCATGTACTCTCTTATATATGGATTTTAGACATAGATCTGGGGAGTGCCAGCCTATAAGCTCATGGCCAGAGAGTCTGGGAAACAAATCCTTCATTCAGTCAGCCGAGGCAGACTCCCACGTCTAAGCACTGAGCTGAACTCAAGAAATCCAGTGACAGAGAGTGAGGACTGATGACCAAAGGGCTTAAGACTGGGCTGGTTTAACCCCCAGAACCGGCTGACCTGAGCAAGTGGTAGCTCTTGAATCCCAGACTGATGGCTGGGAATCCAGCATGGGACTGAGTAAGACTCCCTTAATGTGGGTGTCAGTGAGGAGGCTTAGGCAATCTATGTGACCTTCAGTAGTAGATCAGTATTTATCCCTGGCTTACAAATGGACTTTGGGTACCCATCACCCTTAGCCTGGACTCTTGGGGGAGGTTCTAGGTCCTGCCCTCGATAAAATGACACTATGGACACCCCCGTGGAGGGCCTCATCCTCCCTAGGGAAAGAAGGGTGTATTGGGGGGCTTAGTGGGCGGGCATGGGAGGATGGGAGGGAAAGGGAGAGGGACCTGGGATTGACATGTGAAGCAACCTTGTTTCATTGGGCAACTGCTTTGAGATCAGAAAACGCTGATTCGGTAATTAAACATTTGCTAGAAGTCATGGACATAGTGTCTATACCTGTACAAATAAAGACAGACAGTATGTGTCTCTAAGAAAATACAAGCATTTTGCTTATTATAATATAAAACATAATATAGGTATACCACACACTCCTATAGTACAGGCAGTTCTTGAATGATCAAATCAAGGAGATGCTAAATAAACAGAAATGGATGATAAAGAACCCTAAAATAGATTACATAGTGCTGTATTAACATTGAATTTTCTGAATGCTAATGAGAAAGGAACAAAAACTGCAAAGAGACATTGCATAATAGAAAAAAAACTACAGAATTAAATCAGCCAATATACTTTAAAGATGTTTTTACCTCCTAAGAGAAGTCAGGACATGTACTAAATTGGGAAAGAGGTTTTGCTCTTGTCTCCATAGGTGAAGAAAAGATATGGATACCATCAAAATTGATAAAGATTCAGTTTGGACAAGACACCGTTTTATTTGAAGAGATAATTCATCAAGCAGCATGACTGTTTAATCTAGCCTAATATATAAAAACTAAAAAATGTTTCTCATTTGATTCAACTTGCCAAAGGAGAACCTCCTCAAAATTTAGTGTTGGGGAAGGGTTTTATTTTTATCTTTTCAGAAGAACAATGGTATCCAACTAAGAAATCAGGAGACCACTGGACAAATGAGACCCCTGAAGAAAATGGTCAAATAATCCAGAATAATTGGTCCCAAGGAAAGGAGTAAATTAGTCTTTTGGTATATCACACTTCCAACAGGATAAAATTTCATAAATCTTCCCAAATGTTTGTCTCTGTTTTTCTCTACAGACATAATGCAAATGGTTCTTTTTAGTCCCAGTCTAATTAAAGATTAAACCTGCTTTGGAGTTGGAGTGTGGTTCTCTCCTTTTCTAAACCCAATAATACTTGGTAAAGAAAAATCAAAAATACCTGTCTCTTGTCAGAAGAGGCACCTGATATGGAACAGAAGAATGCAAATATTTAAAGACTATTATATTGCCACTGAAAAGCCCCAAGTGACTACTCAAAAGGCCCTATGCCAAAACTGGTTCATTTATTTTCTGCCACTGTGGATGATACTCTTTCCCAGAACAGTTAAGTAACCTTATGCTTATTAAAAGAAAACATATTGTTCTGGATGAAAGAAGAGTTTTAGAAGCTCAAATAAAAAATTCAGGAGAAACCATAGATGAAAATTGATAAGGATTAGATTAGGACTCTCCCCAAATTTAGGGCTGGGGAAGGGTTTTGTTTTTGTCTTTCCAGGAAAATAAAAATAACCATCTTAAGACATTTGGATAAATAAGCATCCAAAGAAGAATGGGGAACTACCCAGAAAAAAATACCAAGAAGAGAAATAATATGACCTAATATTATCTTGGAAGTCTCCAAAAAGAAGAGTGAATCCAAGCCAGGTGGAGGTCATACATACTTTTAATACCACCACTTTAGGAAGCAAATGTCAGCAGGTCTCAATAATTTCAGTCAAGACTGATCTACAAAGTAAATTTCAGGACAGCGAGAACTGTTAAAAGAGCAAAAATCTGTCTCAAAATCCAAACAAACAAAAACAACAACAACAACAAAACAAAGTAAGATGGAACCCACAATAATTTTCCCAGGACAAGCTTTGGACCACAAACACTGCTCAATTAGGTGGAATATTACATAATAACCAGAAAAGAAAGGTTTGAATGTTTTCAACATAAGAGAAACTATATAGTTTTGACTTGCAAGAAAAGCTAATTCCACATGACTTGGTGACTGCATGCTTGTATCAACATATTATATTGTACTCTAAGAAAAAAGGCCAACTGCTTGCTGGAAACCAATGTGCGATGGAGAGCAATGCAGTGTTGTGATTATTCTTTCCACTCTACAAATGCTTACATGCACAGTCTTCATTCAGTGGGAGTTTGAGGAAAGCAGGTGCTCTTTTTAAAAATGACACTGTCAGGGTCACTTCTTCCCCGGCATTCCGAAGCACCTGAACCTGCAATTACAAAAGATTAAAACAATGTAGCCATCACTAGATATGCAATTTCTTATACTTAACAGCCCTGAGCATTATTGATAGTTTTTCCACCTCTTGGTTTTTCCTGGTTGTCAGAAACACTTTGTGAGAGATAAAAGGACAATTACTTCAAGAGTGCTGTCATAGACCCAACACTCCTCATGCTTATACCCTTTTGCTGCAGTCTTACAGGCTGCACTGAGAACCTCCCACTCACATCCTTGGAATACCTCTTGAGCAGTGTTAGAGATGAAATCACAAGGTGCACAGAATGGCAGATGTTAAGTAGTATTGGAGTTGTTATGTCTGTTAATTTAATCACTGTTTATTTTGGATCTATTTTGTAGTGTGGATCTATGTTGAGCAATCTTTAATGGTAAAAGGAAAATAGACCAAAGAATACTTGTAAGGCTTCATCAATTTATCAAATCCTTCTTCAAACCTTCACTAAGTATTTTCCATTCCATGTAAAGCTAAGAAACCTAGGGAGTTTGGTATCATCAGTAATTCTCAGCACTTGAAATATAGAATAAATAGGTCAAGTTTTATCAGCCAAAAACAGTCCTGAATTCCTTGAAAAGCAATTGAAAGTAATTTACGGAAAATCAATTCAAAAAAGGAATGAAAGGAAAGCTGAATCAGAGATGTATAAGTCACAATGTAGTTGTAGCATATCAAACAAATATGGGTATGATTATAAACTTTGATGTAAATCACATGTACAATTAGGAATCTTTAATGAAGAATTAGTTAAAGAAATACAAAAACATACGTTGCTCTTAGGCAGGCAGACAATTTCCTTCCTGTTAGGAATTTTCTGTGGTTTTGTAAGTCCTTTATCACAAACAGAGAGGCTGTGCAACCAGAACACATATCAGAGTTTCTCATACTGCCACTCCAGAAATCCAACCATGTAGAAAAAGCCTAGGATGATAAGGCCTATCATTCCCCTCAACTTGATCCCTGCTCCTCTGTAAGACCTAACTGACTGGAAATCTCCAAGTAAAGGATCCCTTTCCAAAATAGGACATCAGAAGGCTTCTCTGGAAAGCTCTTTCATCTCTTTAAGACAAGCAAGCAGAGAAGAGTGGGATTTCTAGTGAAAAAAGATATATCAACAAGAACAGAATGTTGCAAATAAACTACATAGTCTAAAACGATGCACAGCCATACCTGTGAGTTTAGCGGTGAATCTCTTATTTAAAAAGAAACATGGGAAACTAATGCAGAATATTTATTAAAAATATGTAACACAACTTATAAAAGCTGGTAAAGATGAAATAAAAATTATTTAAAGCAAAAAACAATTTAAAAGAGAGTGCAACTACCAACCAATGACAAGGTACACCAAATCTTAGAATTATAGAGCAAGGAACATAAAATAAACTTTATAATAGCTGACAAGAAATTATAATTGTTTCAATTCAGTTGAAATATCATAAACACTCCACAAAGAAATGCCAAATTATGAAAAAATTAACTGAATTCATAGAACAGAAAAATGATATAAGTAGAATTATTTCTAGGGTAAAGAAGAGGATAATAGTGCTTGGAAAAAAGGAAAACTGAATCACCAGGGGAAAGAGATCCAATGATGGGTAGGCATGCACATATGTGAGCGTTCTTACATGCCTTTAAATAAACAAAATGCCAAAATATTCAAAGATAGTATATCTTGATCAGAAGATGCTAAATTTGTGTATGCAACATTATTTAGCAATAAAAACCAAATTTGTACAAATAATCATGTTGAAAAATTAAGTTCACCCAGAATATTGAGCTGACAGAATTAAGTACAAATCTGTAATAAATAATGAATAAGAGCAGAAGCGAACTTCATAGAACCGATGAGTACAAATTTTTGAGAAACTGTGAAGAGCATTATCCTAACTAAAGAAAAACAGATTCAGGATTCTCCAGGCTTATGAAAAAAATGCATATCCATGATAATTACTGTAGTCAATATTTTAATGAAGATGCTAAATCAGAGCAATACACTGAGTTAAAAAATAGGAATCAGAATTCGAAAGAGAGAAATGGAACCCTCTTCAGTTGCAGATGGCATGATGATTTATTCAAATGTTAGGCAATTGTTAGAATTAAAATTATGATAGCAACAAGTCATACGGTTAATGATATGGGATCAGTGCACATTCAATTGCATTTCTGTGAGCTTGCAATAAAATATAAAAATTTTATAGATAAAACCATATGTAAATAAAAGCAATAGCTATATTGTTAAAATATGATTTATATCATTATATAGCCTAAAAATTGAAAAATATTGTAGCAGAGACAATTTTAATGAAATCGTCAAATTGATTTTGAGAAACATTCACAGTTACCAACTACAAACTTCTAGTTCAACTAACCACACGTCTGTAATTTTACATACTAACATTCCTTTTCGCATCCTAGAAATCACAGCCCGTTACTACATTAATCCCCACAGCCTATTCAGCAGTGCCAGGACATTTCACAAGCTTTGTCCCCTCTGAGTTTTAAGTTTTCCCAGACGTTTTACAAGAAATGTCTCCTCTGACGCATGAGGTGCCTGATTTGGTCAGGTTTTATCTGCCCTCGTGGCCCTGAAATATTCATATGTTATACTTGATATTGGCAGAGAATTGCTAACTAATTATGTCTGTGTGGGTATATGAAAAGGAAATATTTGGGAATCTGAGAGAACTTTTGAGAACTTCTGGAGAGAAACTTTTGGAGGTAACTTTAGGGAAGCAAATTTTGTTTTTGAAAATAAGAAACCCCTGGAAGAATAATACACACATCAACTGATTCATTTGCCTCCAGATCCCGATCATTAGTCAACCCTACCACTTGTTATGAACATCCAGCCTGAACTCTTGAGAGAACACCTAGGCTCTGTGTTTCTGGATACTTTTAACTTTGTGGGGATGGCTTGATCTTTCTAGTCCCATTCACTTTCTTAAAAGTAAGATATACCATTATTCTTAACAAATGAATAGTAAAACTTCATGGTGTTCATGTACCACAATTTATTTAATCATCTTTAATATGCATCTAGTATACTATTATTTCTTGATGGTTATGAATAATGATAAAATAAAATAAACATGTAAGACTAGTTTTTGCTATTTTTATTTAAATTAGAAACAAGATTGTTTTATATGACAATTCCAGTTCCCTCTCCCTCCCCTCCTCCCCTGTCCCCCACTAACTCCCCATCCCATCCCCTTTCTGCTCCCCAGGGAGGGTGAGGCCTTCCAAGGGAGATCTTCAAAGTCTGTCCTATCCTTTGGAGCAGGGCCTAGGCCCTCCCCCATGTGTCTTGGCTGAGTATCCCTCTATGTGGAATGTGCTCCTAAAGTCCATTCGTATGATAGGAATAAATACTGATCTTCTACCAGAAGCCCCATAGATTGCCACGGCCTCCTCCCTGACACCCATCATCAGGGGTCTGGATCAGTCCTATGCTGTTTTCCCAGTTATCAATCTGGGGTCCATGAGCTTCCCCTAGTTCAGGTCAGCTGTTTCTGTGGATTTCACCAGCCTGGTCTTGACCCCTTTGCTTATCATTCTCCTGCAACTGGGTTCCAGTTCAGCTCAGTGTTTATCTGTGGGTGTCTGCTTAGACTTCCATCAGCTGAGGGATGAAGGCTATAGGATGGTATATAAGGTAGTCATCAATCTAATTATTGGGGAAGGGCATTTGAGGCAGCCACTCCACTATTGCTTAGATTGTTAGTTGGTGTCATTTTTTATATCTCTGGACATTTCTGTACTGCCAGATTTCTCTTTAAACCTATAATGGCTCACCTATTATGGTATCACTTATCTTGCTCTCCTCTATTCTTTCCCTGACTCAACCTTCCTGCTCCCTCATGACCTCCTCCCCCCTCTTCTTTTCCCCTTCTATTTCTCCTAGATCCCTCTCCTCTGCCCCCACGCTTCCCGTTTGCTCAGGAGAACTTGTCCCTTTCCCCTTCTCCAGTGGACCATGTATGTCTCTCTTAGGATCTTCCTTGTTACCTAGCTTCTCTAGGTTTATGGGTCACAGGCTTGTTATTGTTTGCTTTATGTCTAATATTCACTTATGAATGAATACATACCATGTTTGTTTTTCTGGGTCTAGGTTACCTCACTCTGGATGGTGTCCTTTAGTTCCATCCATTGGCACTCAAATTTCAAGATGCCATTGGTTTTTTTTGTTTTTTGACCACCAAGAGAGGAGAAAGGAAAACCTATCCAGCATGATGATGACTCTGAACACGTGTAGCTTTGGCCTATGCCTGTGTCTGCAGAACCATCAGCAAATGGCTTTTTCATGAATTCATACTTCAAAAGTTGGATGCCTTATGTAGCATGAATTTTTATTGATCTTAACACAAATTTAGAGTCAGCTATCAGGGAGTGAAAACTGAATCAGAAGAAAAGTAGAACAGATAGTCACTAGAGTTCTTACCTTTTCCAATGCTCAGACCAAATAGACAACACTGTCTTCAGACTGCCTTCTCAGACTGCATCCTCAGATGGATTGCCCAGACTGACTTCTCAGACTGCTTCAGACTGACTGGTGCTCTGACAGTCTCTTTCTGTCTTATATTTCTCTCTGTTTCCAGTCAAATCCACTCCTGTCTCTACCTCATTAGTGCTACAATTAAAGGTGTGTGAATTGCTTTCTGTGTTAGACAAATTTAATCTGGTGTAGCCCAAGGTGGCCTTGAATTCACAGAGATACATCTGCCTCTGACACCCAAGTGCTGGAATTAAAGTTGTATGTTATCACTTCCTGACCTCTGTGGCTAACTAGTGTGGCTAGCTCTGCACTCTGATCTTCAGGCAATATCTATTTATTGTAGCATAAACAAAATATCACCACAAAATTCTTTTACTATTTACCATTTAATAAAGCATTGGATATTGCAGAATACTAGTTAAAGACATGTTGCATTATTTTGTACTGTGTAATATTTGTTTACTGATACAAAGATGTGTTGCAT